TTTTGCAAAAAGAAATTCTGGATCTTTTAATTACCTACTTGATCCGATCTGACTAACAGTCACTTCAGGAGCATAGTTCAATGGCGTAAGGGCACTGTTTTCAAGGTAGCTTTGGAAGCGTGTGTTCTGCATTGAACACCCTGCACATTTTTCATCCATTGTACTAACTTGTTTGCCCATTAAAGCATAACATGACGATTTGCATATTTTATGAAGAGATTTAGCTGTTCAGCCCCTCCCTGCCCACTAGGTTTTCCCCCTATTCAACCCAAAACATCACAAACGCCATGACACGATCAGACCCTCAGCATGGCACCAAAAATGAATCATGCAGTTTATTTAGTGCCGCAAAATACTGAGTTCACAAATCAAACAAGATGACGAATTTAATAAGCAGTTGACACAACAACAACTAACCTAGAATACGCTTTCTTTATGAAAATGGAAACCACAAGACTGTGAAGTGGCTTTTGCAGCAATCTGATAAATACACCATTTTTAGATATCTGTTGCAAATTTATGTCAAGTGTTCAGCAAACAATAAACAAGTGATTTAATAATTTAAGTTAAACCCTTCTACAAACATCATAGTGTTATCATATGCACTGGCTCTATATAACTGTGCAAATGGCTTCATTTCCCTCAGTACGCACAATATTTTCAGACTTCTGATATTCACCTAGATTGTTCAAATTGGAAAAAGAAGATGTGTGCTGCAGCTCAGTGGTTAGAATAACTCGCCTCGCAAGCAAAAGGACCTGGGTTTGATCCCCGAGCAGGGCGAAACCTTAGGCAAGTTTCCTAACTCCACGAGCCTCTGTTTACCTAGCAGTGAATAGGAACCCGGTTGTTAGTCAATTAGCGTATCGCTTTTCCGGGGTAGTAATCTCTTAAAAAATATATAATAATAATAATGGTCACTCAATTCCCAGGTGTTTGTGGGACGCCGCTGTGCGCAATTGGCTCCCACGTTTCGCCCACAAAAATACAGTCAATTCACTTCCAGTGTATTCTACGAAGCGCTTTGAGATGTCTAGAAGAAGCGATAAAGCGCTGTAACAAATACAAGGATTATTATTGTTATTATTAATTGCCACTACAGCTGCTTCCATTCAAAATGCAGGCGTACTCAGGAGAATCCCAGTGCTATTGCTCAATACAGAGCAAGCCAGCTGGACTGACTTTGTACAACACTGTACCCAATGACCCTAACACGTGGCAATATGAACACCTTCTTGTCTACATGTTTTCATGCACTGAAAGGAGACTACAAACATCCTCCCACTTCCCCACGTCCAAACCCCAGCAGTTGGCTCCAGGACTGATTGTTCTATTTCACAACCAACCTGGAGCGTTAGTGAACTACAGAACAGATAGAACTAGATGGGCTCCAGGAATGCTGGGCGATTCCAAACTTTCGCAAACAACAAGATTCCATTTATAGAGCGCCTTTCACGTCAGGAGGACGTCCCGAGGCGCTGTACAGTTGGGTCAGGACCCGAGCATTGGGGGGAAATGGTCAGGGTGAGGGGAGGGAGGGAGTGAGGAGGGGGTAGAGAGTCGAGAGGGGAGCTGAAGGCACGGTCAAAGAGAAAGGTCTTGAGACCGGCCTTGAAGGAGGAAAGGGAGGAAGCGGCGAAGGCACTCGGGGATAGAGTTCCAGAGCCTCGGGGCTGAGAGGCTGAAGGCCCGGCCACCGATGGTAGGGCGGTTGGGGCGGGGGATGTGGAGCAGACCGGAGCCAGAGGAACTGATCATGCCTTGATCTTATGATGCTTGGAAGTCTCAGTTCGGTTTAGATACTCTTAAGCACGGTGATGGGTTACCGCATGTGTCAGACGTCCAGCCGAATACCACCCCACCCACACCCCAAGAAAAATCACGCCTGGAGCTAAATTCTAGAAAAAAGTTCCACTTTGTTACGTAAATGTGTAACACCACAATGCAATGGTTTGCATTTGCTGCCTGTGTAATGCCCTTTAATTTGAAACGCTTGCGCTGCAATCTGTTGCGTCTCACTTGCATTTTCAAAGCTGAGCTTGTATTTTTTGGTAGCTTTTCATAGGTTTCAAGGACATGAAGCAAATTAGGTTGTAGGCTCTTTGTTCTATCAGCTCCAGCTGTCAGTGAGTGAACCTTTGCAAAAAGCCCAAGACAACTCAATGAATTTTGAACTAGTGATAAGAGCAATAACGATGGTACCGGCAAGTGAGCTATCGTGATCAACCTGGCTGCTTTGACTCGGTGTTTAAGCAAAGGTGAGCCTTTTCATGTGGGATGGAATCGTTTTTAAGCAATCCGAGGGAGACAGCAAACACTCACACAGCTCTTCCACATCTCCTAGCAACTGTTCCGAGCAGGACGAGCAGAGACTTTGGCACAGGTTGCTCTGCGTATTATTGCAGACACAGAAGGAAAAAAAGCCAGTGCGCAGAAAGGAAACATATTAAAATAGGTGGCGGTTATTATTACTCGGCTATCGACTTGGGAAATGCTATTTACTTTCCATGTCTCGTGACAGGTCTTTTTCCCGAATGATAATGATATAAATATAATCCCTGCATTTGCTATAACGCCTTTGAGACGTCCCAAGATCGCTTCAAAGCGATCACTTGGAATCACTACCTCAGCTAAACAACAACAACAAAATCCTCAATTATCGGCTACACGAAGAGTATTCTACTGTCCTAGCCATTGACTGACTGTAGCACTTGATACGGCATTTCAGCAGAATCTTCTGTTGTCTCGTTTCATTTTCCAGGAATGTACAATATTCAGGTCGCTGGTTCACCCAAAAGTCACAGTGAGGGTACATATAAAGCAGCATCTTCCTCCCACCTCAGTTTGGTTTCCCCTCCAACCTAGTTGATGCCTCTCCTCCCCACTAACCAGCCCCGCACTCAAAATAATAATCCTCACATCCGACATAGCATTCATTTCGCCAACAAAATATAGTCAATTCACCTTACAGTATATTTTGGGAAGCCCTTTAAGACGTCTCGAAGATGTGATAAGGTGCTGTATCAAATGCAAGGATTATTACTATTACGATAGCGTCTTTCACATTGAGAGGTTGTCTCAAAGTGCTTTATGGGATTTTACCGAAGTGACTGTGTGTTTTGCAGGCAATATACCATTCAGTTCTCCTTCCTCAGGAAAAACACCTGGTGTTCGCTCATTAGACCGCACGGCAGCACAGCCAACAACATCAACCTGGGCATGAGAGAACACGGCATCACCAAACGGAGCAGCAGCTCAAAGCTCTTACATTGCGGGCCACACCTCGCCAAGAGCAGAAACCTTCAATCAGAAAATCTCGCACCAGTTACAAAGGAATTGGCACAGTGATTAAACCAAGTTGTACAATTAAAGCAGGAATGAACCCGTAACCCTATAAAAACAAACATGGGTGGGTGTACACACAAACACATGCACACACATGTGTGTATATTGCACACCCATGATAAAAAAAATAATAATCCTTGCATTTGATATGGTGCTTTATCACGTCTTCGAAACTTCTCAAAGGGCTTCACCTGCTACAGTTTAAAGTGAGTTGACTGTATATTTTGTGGGCGAAACGAATCTTGGCAAGATCTTGTTCGGCTAAAGTGTTTAATTTTATTTAGGGCGAACAAATGAAAGAGCTGACATAGCGAAAGGTGTCGATCAGTGGTGTTCACAACGGCAGGACCAGTCTAACCACTTTCCCATGTTCGTCTCCCCAACCAGAGGCGTCAGCTGCTCGGGTGGGTGGGGGGGGAAAGCATCCTTAAGATTAACTTCCATTGTCTGCTTCTTGTGCTCATAGGAAATGGATACTGCAAAATTGCCTGGACATAATGGTGTGTAAACACAACCATTAAGACGATTTAGCATTATATTGTCCACTCGTGCTTTGACAAAAGAAATAGTACAGGAGAGTGCTTCTCAAACGCTGAATGAGAGTCGTTAAGGAATCCCGTTTTCTCTACAAACGTCAAATGCTTAAAAAAAACCTCAAACGCTTAAAAAAACTGCAACTGCATGATGAACCTCGCCCATCAAATACATGGATTAATAAGATCAAATGTAAGTCTTAATTTGGTTGTTTACTGCCAGTTCACCACTGTGAAAAACACTGCACTTCGCCAGTGCTCTGCCAGTGAACTAAAACACATTATTGTCAGCCATTAATGAGAGTCCAATCATCTTCAGTAACACTGCCCGTTGCAAAACCACTTAGCTTTCCACCAGCTATAAGTGACTCTTGGAAAAGCTTGAACAGTCCTGACGCATTGACACACACAGCACACTGCGTTATGTTTTTGGTGTGCGTGACAGAAATTCCTTTGTACAGCGAGTGTTTATGCAGCGAACCGACCACATACCCGAAATAATCTGGAGCTGAGGTAGTTGGGATTTCACTGTGGTGGACTCTGCAGGCTCTCTGTTTCTGTTTCCACTAAGAAATCCTGCTCAGTTGGATACTCGGCCAATCGATTTGTGCCGGACTCATCCACCAACACAAAAAACAGTCCCGTTCGGGTGTAAAACGATTACATTTCTATCGTTTCCTCAATGGGCATTAAAGAGAACTTTCAACATTCACAATACTGTTACACAAAAAGTCAACAAAGTGTATCTTCATTAGCGGACACAGCGCAAGAAACCCCCTGAACGAATAATAACAGGACCAGAGACGAGGATTAAAGGGCACCAGGCGGAGAACAAGTTGAAAGACGTCACACACACACATACATCTACTTGAACAGGAAGTGCTACAGCCTTCGAAATGCATGGAATCCAGAGAGGGAGAGAGAAAAAAAATACAGAGAGACCAGTTATAAAAGACTCCTTTGTTTATTTTTTTAATACCTCGTTGATTTGATTGAATACATTCTTCTGTTTTGTTCACAAGTCAGTCAATCACAGGTAACACGTCGCAAGACTTCGCGGTGGACGGTTTTCTTTTGCGCATGCAAAGACAATAACGAATATATTTCTCAGTCACACGCTGGTAATCAGACAGGCTTTATTCACTTGGCTTCAGAAACCAGCAACCAACAGTGTTTCAACAAATACATAGCAGTGATGTAAATTGTACCAAACACTAGAGAAAGCACCCTTGAAAGCACCCTATTTGGCCTTTTGTGGCTATCTCTGAGGACTACTGCTCAGCTTTAGGATGAATCAGTCGTTCGAAGGTTCCTGCAGAATATCTTCAGGACCTGCCCCACCCCAAAATAAACACACCCAAAGGATAGACATGCAGTCAGCAGCACGCTGGAGCTGTGGTTGTTTGCCAGTGTGCTGAGAAGATTAATGAAGAGAGTGAACCTGCAGCATCAACCGATCTCAGCCAAACTATCTAAGAATTACCTATCAAGTGAGGTGCAATAGGACTGGCAACCATCCACTCAGGCCAATGTGACCCTCTCTGGAGGGTTCAGAAACGGACAGTTACATCCTTCACTGCTCAGCAACGCAGCCACCGAAATCCTCTTCACGTCGATCCCCTTCTGGGAAAACATGTTTTGTAGATATGATGGATTTACGTTCTCTTAAATTGCCATGCCCGCCCCTGTCGACATGAGCAGGAGGAGGCATCCTGCGAAAACATCAAGAGCCATTCTGAGATTTCAAACTCTACACGGAATTCTGATTTATTTACAGTAAGAATACTATTGCAGAAGACTGAAAAAAAATGCTAGGAAGGGCACAAGACATTAATGGGCAAGGATTTGCAAGACTTTCCTAGATGAGTAATGTCGGTCTGAATATAAAAAGGGAATTAGACTTTACAAAATGTATTTAAGACTGCAAAGGAAATTATTGGATCACTTACCAGATTGCAAAGCAGCTTCACAGAAGTAGGGTGTCATCGGCACCCCTCACTTGGAATATCTGTGCAATAATTTTCTTGTTGGCTCTTTCTAATGACTGTGTGGTCTGGCCCGCTGTCTCTACTTACACCCAATGAAACATGTAGTTGATAATCCTCTTGTGAACTTGTGACCATTTCTGCAAACATCAGAGTAATAGTTCACCTGTCTAGTTCTGCTTTGGTGGCTTAAGGGGAAAAAAAAGAGGTAACTTTTGCATTTGATCAAAATCGTATGGGGTTAATTTAATTGATGTTGCTCTCATTGATGTGCGGCCTTTGGTCTCTACTCTTGTCCGGTTCGCATGTTTACCATTGCCAGCGCAGTGAGTTTGCACAGGGAAAAAAAAGATACAAATTTGTATAAACCCCAAAACGTTGCATTGGAAATAGAAGCAAAGGAATAACAGCCTGGTGAACCCTAAAAAAAAGGGAAGAATTAGTGACGCAAAGCTCCTTAAAGTGGCTTTGCGTCCAGCATTTGTAAACCCTCCCCCACCACCCATTACCTCCAACGTTAAAGAAAATAAATGGAATCCAAACAAATCCTAGCTGGTTGATCCACAGACCTGACACCACAGATTGTAGACAGTGAAGCACTCTATTAAGCTGTAGATTTTTTAAAAAAAGAACCAGAAAGAATGCCCGAGTGGCACAGCCTTTCACATCCTGAGATCTGCATTTGAATTAATGGACAAAATTCTTTCTCACCCCACCGGTTGTAAGGGTCTTCCATATGACATGGGTTTAGACACAATTCACTTAATTCCTGTGAGCAAAGGGACCAGCGCTGAACTGTTCCTATTGGCAATAATAATAAAATTAATAATCCTTGCATTTGATATCATGTCTTCGAGGCGTCTCAAAGTGCTTCACAGAACACACGGTAAAGTGAATTGACTGTATATTTTGTGGGTGAAATAAGCAGGAAAGGCCACATTGCTGAATCCAGAGTTAGTTTGTAACTAAGGCGGCTCTATATTGATTAAATCGAGTAAGATTTACTGCGTACAAAAAAGCTTTTCAATCCCAGTTCCTCTTTCAATTATGAAACTACATTGAAACAATGGGTCTGACTAAATCCTGTAGTTAACTCGTGTAATTTACTACAGTTGGGTATTATAAATACCAAATTACTCAAAGACAAAGTGCTGATATTGCACAAAATATTCAAATTTAATACTGTATTTTATGGAAGATCAGGATTTGAAAGGATTTAACATAAAAAGACAATTATTTGTACTGCACAGAGGAAATGACTTGGGGGCCAAGGTAATAAGATCTATGGGAAGGACTCCCTCCCAATTTTTTTAAAAATGATAATTTGTGATTAAAAGGCACTTTCCTACTGTGAAGATTTTAGGTATGTCAATACCATCATCTTCCCATTAAGAACCTGCATTTTTCTGCAGAAATTAACCCTGTTTTTATTGAAAAGATCAGAATGAAGTATAAAACTACTTTACAAAGTAACTACCACAATAATATTTTGCCCACAAAATATACAGTCAATTCTGCGAAGCGCTTTGAGACGTGATCAGATTCTGCATAACACAGCTGATAATGGGTAATTCATGAAGTACGTAAACACAAGTTTTTACGATGACTCAAACCGTTAGCGAAAGATTCAAGAAAGGTTTAGATCCACATCAAAAGCGGTTTGCATCAGGCCAGAAAAGACCTGGGCTGGAAAGCTTCCTTTCACCAAACAGAAACAGCATTGGGACAATTCTGTACAATGCAAACTGCCAGCCAGCTCGCAGTTTAGCTCCTTTGTCAATTTTGGTTCGAAAAAGAGTAAACCGAGATCTTGAACCCTTGAAAAAGATTTATTTTCGACGCGACTTTCACCGAATTCCAGAAACGGACCGAGCTCAGCGGCAGCTTTTCGGGTTAACCCTTCGCCGCACCTTCATTTGAAATTTAAACTACTTTTTATCCTTCTACAATTGACCTTTACTGTGTCCAAGTCTGCACACTCCAGCGTATGCACAACCGGCCGTCATTACAGCGCTGTCCGAGAGCTCTGGGACACTGCCCTGCAGTGAGGGACGCAACATAAATACAAGCTGTTGCTGTAAGCGCTAAAGACCTGCAAACAAAATGCCTCCCAACCTGCATTTGCACACGAAGGCACTTGAAGACAGTTACAGCATCACGGTGACCACATTGTTTCATTTCTGTCCGTCTGCACTGTGGTGCGGCAGAGCAAGTTGCTCAGTCAGTAGGTCTATAATTAGTGACGAATTTGTGGAATCTGTCTGCTGCAACCGTGTCAAAACTCTCGTCACCTTGCTATCCGTGACTTAGTCAACTGCACCTAAAATACAGTGTCAAAGGTGCTCGGGGGGATAGTAATAGTTAGAAAAAGCACCAAAAAGCATTAAAATCTTATCAAATGTGAACGTATGCATTTTTATTCCCCTGAAGCCACTCTTTCCCCTGCGCCTCCTCCTCTCCCCTGACTTCCGTTGAACACAATACATCGTCAAATGCTCATACCTCTGGAGAGATCTGCTTTCTAGAAATGGCAGGATGTAGAAGCGTCTAATTCTTCCGCAAGTCAGTAGGGCTCTCCGAAACTCCGCTTCGATTGACAGTAGGCCAGCAGAGCCTTGTGTCAACACGAATTTGGACTGCGCTCAACACGAACAAATCACCAGCGATCAACAAAAGATCACTCCTCAATTTGGTGAAACACACAAATAAATGGCCACGACTCTTGGTGGCTCGGCACTTAACCGGTCGACGTCTGCCAAGACGAAAACGTCACGTCCAGGATTGAGTATCCGGGATGCAGTATCGCGCTACATCCCGAGAGATGAGTCTTCACAACCAAGGAAGAACCTGTCCATCAGATTATTGGGGGAAGGGTGGTTCCCGTTCATCGTCATCGACCATTTTCCCACACTAGTCAAACCCCATTGGGCTAAAGGCATTCGTCACCAGTTCCAAGTAGATTTTATCGCCGTCAGTCCATTTGGTTACTGTAATATGTGGTGGTGGTGGGGGAGGTTTAATTATATTTTTGTGGAGAAAATGCAGTTGATGTTTCAACCGCAAGGAGAGAAATAGCATTAACCAGAACATTAGAAAACAAACAAACAGCACATGTCTGAGCAACTACCTCTTTCTACCTGTGCACAAAATGGCAGACAACTGAGATAAAGATGTAACCAAATGAAACCAACCAGTCAACCACATATTTAAAAATAACTTGAGCTAAAAGAGAACATGTGTGCATTTTTTTTATATAGAGTTAATGCATTTTGCCCACAAAAACAAACAAGTCAATTCACTTTTACAGTATATTCTGGGAAGCGCTTTGAGAGGTCTAGTAGACGTGATAAAGCGCTAAATCAAATGCAAGGATTATTACTTTGGACTATGCAAGCTACTGTACATTTCAGATGTTCAATACTGGTTATAAGAGTTTTGCTAATATTGTGTATATTGATGCAAAATAAAGAACTGGTACCAAGTTCTAACTTTTCACTCGACTGACACACGATTACAGTTTCAAGAGAACAAGATGATGGGAGTTTGCAGAAGAGTTTCAGAGGCCGACAGGAGGGAATTAGAGGCAGTTATGCGCTAGGAGTTAACGCCCTCTAGTAACTGGACTGTGACCTGACACACTCATTTCATGTCGAGCCTTTGCAGCCAACTTTTAGTGACTGTTATTCCATCAGTTTGAGTCAGACTTGGTCCCAGAAATGCAACACCATTGTCTGATCCATTGCACCATTCAGGCCCCTATTGACTAAGTTTACAGCAGACAAACTTTCAGAGAAGCCACCACTATAGCAAGATTCTCCCTTCTTTGTGTATAGCCACTGTAAATCAAAAATCAAACTAGGCCTCAGAAGATGCACGAAAGCTCAGACTTACAAGAAGGCAGCGTTACGAGGAGGAATTTTTCACTGTAAAATCATTCTGCATAACATGGTCAACGAAGAGATGCCACTGAGCCCCTGAGTGACATCCCACTGCACTCATCAATTTGAATAGCCTGATGTCCTTGGGAATATCTGTTTCTTGGATGCTCGGTATGGGATACAGGGAAAATGAACAGCAGTATGAAGTCAAGGGCACTGCATAAATACAAGTCCCTCTTGTTATTCAAGCTACGTAGAAAGCCAAATGGTGGATGGAGCTCTGGTTCCATGGCTCAGTGAATGCTGTCATTGAGAACTCTAGTAGACTTGCTCTTCATCAAACACGTCGCCACAGCCTTCCTCTAAGATGGTGAAGCGCAACTTGGAGCAAATTTGAGATCTGTTTTTTTGGAAGCCATGGAAGAATTTTTTTGCATTTATTTGTTCCATCCACGACACGCAGGCTCTCGTTCCTGAAGAATAAACTATTATGGGAGATAAAGGAAACAAATATTTATTTCAATTACAGCAAACAATTAAGGTAAAAGGATATTAATCAGACATATTTTGTGAAAATTGGATGAAAATAGCCTAAAATTAATTAAAGAACAAGTAATAAAATTAAAGATACGCTTCACTTACCATAATTAAGTCAGCTCAGCATGTACAGTGACTCTCCGATTCCCCGAGACTGACTGCTCTCGAAACAGATTTCAGATCATGTAGTTTGTTGTTTGCCTTTTCTCTGGGTTTTTGATAAACATTCAAGTTTTTTTTTTTGGTTGTTGAATACAAAACAAAGTTGTGAAATTTTCCAACACGGCCCGTGCGTTTCCATTGTAACCCTCTCCGTTTTTAATCCAAAGAAAGGCATTTCGATTTGATACATTGCTTTGCTTCACTACAACAAACAACATACGGTCAATGAAACGTGAAGGCTTTTCCGCCTTTCCTATTGTTGCCGTTTTCTGACACAACGCTACAAGTCATTTGCACAGGTCAGGGCTTCAGTGCAATAAATCCGCAATAGAATGACTCCTTGGATGGCTTGAAACACTGACAGAAACTTGGGAGAGGTCAGTGTCAATATGTTTTATCTATATGAGTGTTCAACATTCCAAATATGGGGCCAGAGTTATATTGGCCGGCGAATCTGTATCTCAACATCTAACAATATATTTTCACACATATATATACACACACACATATATATAT